TTTGTCAATCAGGACCATATACATGTATATATATCTATATATATCTAAATATCTAAAAGATTGCTTTTTATGCTATGTCTATCTATCTATCTATATATATATATAGAGAGAGATAAATAGATAGATAGATGGATAGATAGATACTATTAGATGGATAGATAGATAGATACAGTAGATAGATAGATAGATAGATAGATAGATAGATAGATAGATAGATAGATAGATAGATAGATAGATAGATAGATAGATAGATAGATAGATAGATAGACAAAAGCAACTGTACTTGATTGGTATGTTTGAGTCTGGGTCGAACAGTGTGGCTACTGTTTTGACAAGGTATCGTTTGCCCAAAGCACATCAATCAAATAGACAACGATCAGACAACTAGGTTAAAGAATGCAAGTGTCTTGTCTTCGAGTGTGCATCTTCATGCAGCTATTGTGATAGACATTCTCAATCCACATATACTGATGTTTCATGAACTTTCTACCGCTTGATACATGTCCTTTTGCGTTTTGTTTTATCACCCAAGGTTTCCATTATGTTGTATTCGTGACACGATATCATTTTCATCAGATATTGAACACATGTCACTCATTTTAATTCATTTGATACATTATAGTTGCAGGGACATGCAGTGATTCTTAACACTAAGCAGACTGTTTTGTAGTGTATGTTTATTCAACTTGCTATATTATACCAGTAGATGCCATATTGTGCAATAATATCTGATGCCTTATTGTGCAATAAATTTTATTTACAGACAGAACTTTTAGTAGTCATGACTAAACCTTACCTTGGTCCTTTTTATCGTCCAAATGTTTTTGATTTGTGTCATCGTCAATGTAGATGCCCATCTGCCGAAGTACGTCGTGTATGTTGTCGCTTTCGTGATCTTCTTTGCTGATTTGTGAACTTTCTATGTCGTCAGTTGTATATGTTGACCCTTCGTCACCGTTGGCTGCTCTGAGACCTGTAGTTATGTATTATTAACAGTGTAGCAATGCTAATTTTGTAGAGTTTCCTACTGAAATGTTACGTACCTGTCAAAAGTCATTTGTGAAAAAAATTACACGTTTTTGATAGTGTAGTTAATAGTAGTGATAGTGTCAATATTGCAATTTTGCAATGCTCAAAAGATTTCTTTTTATGCTATTTTATCAGCAACAGACTACTTGACGTGTCAGTATCTTCTTTGTCTGGTTACGTTTTGAAACCAAGTTTTAAATCTCGTTATTCAATTGTGCTACATACTAGTAGCACGTTTTAGGGTACATTTTATTGAATCTTAATATCTAAACTTTCACTGTTTAGACAGTGTAGTTGATCAGTCTGATTGTAAAAGGTCCGATGCGCTTTAATAAGTAGAAATGAGAGTTTAGGGTACACACACACACACATACATACACACACACACACACACACCCCACACACACACATACATACACACACACACACACACACACACACACACACATACACACACACACACACACACACATACACACACATACACACACACCACACACACACATATACATACACACACACACACACACACACACACACACACACACACACACACACGCACAACCACACACAAATATACACACACATGCCTGGTTGCCAGCGCTACTGACCTGCAACAAGACAAGAACACAGCAACTGAACAGACTGCTGAACCGTGCTGCCAGAATCATCACCGGCAGAACTTTGCAGGACCGAGTACCTACTGACACTCTATTAACAGAGGCGGGTATTGAAACTCTATCAAGAAGAGTGGAAGTAAACACACTAGTGACTGTTTTTAAGGAACTAAACAAGAAAATGCCGCCTTACTTGTCTGAAATGTGTAAGTGGATGCCACCCCCAATGTTGCAATTGAACAGACGGACGCGGTTAGCTGTAAACCAGTTAGCAATTGGGACCCTCACATGCTGGTTGTTCCACCGGCAAACATTAACGCATACAAAGGGAGCCTGCAGTACCAGGGTCCAGTGCTGTGGAACCAGCTCACGATAGAACAGAGAAAGCTCCGAACTGTAACGGCCTTCAAAAACTCATTGTAATTATATTGTATTTGTACTGCTGTATGGCTATTATGTGCTATGTACTGTGTTGTTATCATTGTATTGTTTCTGCATTTTTATTGTACCCAGATCTACGTGAAAAGCAGGTCAAATGACCTGAGTGTATCTTCTGGTTAAATAAATAAACTGAAACACACACACAAACAAACATACACACACACATACATGCATACGCACGCACGAACACACACACAAACATACACACACATACATACACACATACACACACACACATACACACACACAAACATACACACACACACATACATACATACACACACGCATACATACACACACATGAACATACACACACACACATACACACACACGCACACACACACACACATACACACACACACACGCACACAAATACACAAACACACACATACATACACAAACACATACACACACACACACAAACATACACACACACACACACACATACACACATACGTACACAAACAAACATACACACACACACATACATACAGACACACACACACACACACACACACACACACACACACACGCGCACACAAATACACAAACACACACATACATACACAACACATACACACACACACACAACACACACACACACACACACACATACACACACACACACACACACACACACACACACACACACACACACACGCACACACACACACATCTTTTGCCCCTGCACACATCAGACAATTGTGTTTAAGAATGCAAGCTTTTTTGACACTCTCAATACACTAAAACTATTGTTCATTCGAACGTTCTATCTCAAAACGTTTAACTTAAAATAGATGCCCTAATTCTAGATACAACGAGAAAGATAATCATGACACGACAAAAGGCGGTTATATTGTGTATGCAGATACAGATATAGATCAAAGACTTAGCATAAACTATTTCAAGGGACATCACATATATCTTCACGATATTCCACAAAATAGGGCGTTGTAGGCAATTGTATTACTTGGCTAACTAAACACAATGAAACTATTGACTGAACATTGCTCCTTCCAATATACAATTTTTAGACTACATGTATATTCATAGCAATAATGGCTGCATAAGAGCTCACCCACATTACCGACTACACAAGTACTACGGACGAAATGAAGCATGAAAACATTAAAAAAGGTTCCTTAATGTTCAAAGGAGCAAGTGTAATAGGCTTGAGTAGTCAATAATCTAAAGAAAAGCAATCGAAAAATTTGATGCGTCCCTGGTATTGTGTATATAAAGTAACAGGTGGGATCCCCATTTTGCAATTCTCACGATTCGTCGGGTTTTTATGTCATCAGACAGTTTACTTGATAGTTTTATGTGGAAAAATTATAAAAGAAACTTACCTCGTCCTGTGATGCAGTGAAGCACCAGTAGCAACACAGCCACTTTGGAAAGAGTCATTCTGTAACGAAGCTGTGGTCCTAACTACATGTCTGACGTGCTAACATAGATGTCATAACGAGTTGACCAGCACACGCCCAGCGATCAGGCTGTTGTCTAGAAATAAGGTTGGAAGGACTGGACGGACCGGACTTGCGTTGTCTTGATTTTCCCATGATGCTTCATTCTGGAAAGAGGGAGGGGGGAAAATAACTGCCCAGGCATTCGAAACAGATTCTTTATTGACACAGCAAAAAAGTACAGGGACTCTTGTATGGTCTTCTACAGCTTAACTAAAGATCTAACAAAGCTAAATATATGTGTGGATAACGTCATCTTGCGTACAGAGTATATGTATGATGTAACAATAAAGGTTAATTATTCTCTAACATGTGTTCTCTAAGATCGAAACATTGTTTAAATGTATTTTCCTTTTTGAACACTAGATAAGTTCTTGAACTGTTAGTTAAGTTGACATCATTGTAAATTTGTTTTATATTCTGGTCATGCTTAATATTTTGTATTTGTTTGTACAGATGTTTTATGCAATGTATTGTTTTATTGTATTTAGTATATTAATGTCTCTTGTTTGTTTTAATTAATTTCAATTTTAGAACTGTCTTGCTGTGGTCCAAGGTGGCCAAAAAGCAACGAAATAAAGTACAAGTCATGTGATAAACTTCTTCAGCACGATAACGTTAAACTTAAATTAGTTATTTGAGTTTAATGTTGTTAAAGTAGGAATCGCTAGTTCAAATTTGATTCATGTTGGTTGATATATTATTGCGTTTTAACTTACATAATATATTAATTTTTCAAAAGTAAACCTGATTTCGACGAAAACCACGTGTATATGACTGATTACACTAACAAAATGTTAAAAAATAAGCCATATTTGATAAAACAAGGAGGTTGGTCATGACAATAGTTGAATATAGAAATCACCTCAGTGTTGACGAGAATCGATAAAATATTTTGTTCCATTATCGTTTGCTCATTCAGTGACGTATAGTTGTTGTGATTGTTTTAAGAGCAATTATATAGAGATTGCGGTTTATTGAGGTTTATTGAGGAAAAACTCTCCTTTAGTTGCCCACCCAAGGGTGGCAGCTAATCTTCCAGGAGAGGGTACATAAGACATAACAATACATCAAATATAATTACATATACATTTACGTTACATAGTAATTCAAAAGAAAACCAATACATTTACCGTATCTCGGAAAATTTTACGAGATTAAAGATTAATTTTCATCAATGATTAAAGAAAGCATCAAGAGTTTTTACACACTTTATTGCCGATTGACTTCACAAATATTTCAAGATAGTTAACATACTAGTATAACTGCTGCAGTTAAGGCAAAATACATATGCATACATGTACGACATATACATGTACGTACTTTCTGATTATCATTTATTGTCTTCGTCAGAAAGACTATGAAATTGTCTCGCCGCATTGTGGGTGACTGCGGATTTAGCGGAATAACTGTTGACAGCATTACTCCACGTCCATGATATTTGGCAGGCAGATTACCGTTGTTAAGGCCAATGCCAAGTGCAAGTTTGGGCTTCGTGGGGGTCCGTACGTCACACTGCAGTGGACTTTTTGTGTTTGTGGCTTGTGAGCAAAATAACTGGAGAAGATTTAAACAGATGTTCATGATTTTTGATAGCCAAGCTACCATTGTAGAGGCTAAGGTCAAGTTCGAAAACGGGCCTAGTGGGGGTCCCTATGTCGCTCCAGTGGACCTTTTGTGTTCGATATATAATGGACTTTCCCCACCAACCTCTGCATTGATTCACATTGGGGACAGCTGTCCCCGCATCTGGGATCAATTGCTTACAATTGTGGGGCTGTCCTATAATTACTGGGGGGGGGGAGTTAGACATGCGTCAGACAGGTCATTCCCTAAATTGTAAGGCCAGACCAAGTAATTTTAATGGATGACGTCTACTGAAGACCTTAAATTCATTGCAAAAGCGCGATAAAATACATGAAGGGCAAAAAAACTGATTAAGATGCATAGATTTGGAACATGCTAACTGTGGAAATACAAAGGTTAGGACGCAAATTGAATAAAAAAACATAGTGTAGCAACAAACGAAAACAGCAATAAATCTCGCCCTGTTCTGATTCTTTCCTTTCATCACATCTTCTCATTACATTTTGCGACACTGTCGTAGAATTAAAAAAAGGGGGGACAAGAGTTCCAAGATCTCATACCTCCATGAGATATGGGCTTGCTTTGTCCTCATTATTATGCAAATAAGCTCTACATTAACATAATATATGCATAGCGGTGCAAACCTTTAAGTAACTTACACATGTTACCAGGTATAAAATTCCCACCATTCACCAATAAGGATTCACAGAATTTTCACATTAATTATGCAAATTAGGTCATTATTTGCATAATTGGTATCTGTTGATGTTCCGCCTGCCACAGAGTAAATAGATTATATGTATAACAGAGCTATTATATAAAACACTGTAATTATAGAATTTCCTCCTTAATTATGCAAATTATGTCCTCATTTGCATCATTTGCATTTAATAATTTGCATTTAATTACAACTCTCTCTCTTAGCTACCTACAAACCAAAAATGATGAAAATACGTTGTTCCTTTTTGGACTTATTGGCTTTAGAAGATTTCGCCCGAAAGTGCCCTGCAGTTCCAGAACAAGTTGCTAGGAAGACCAAACCCACACCACTTATTCCTGACAGTAAAAGCTATCTGTTACCAAAAAGTCAAGACCATAGCATGTTCAGGACAAAAGATACAAGAACCGGAAGTTCTGCTGCAGTACCAAGGTCATCCACCAGGAGGCCCATATTTAACCTTGACCTTTGTCTTCCTAAGACCTACTAGCATACCAAATATCATCACAATCTATAAAGGCGTTATGAAGTTAGATGCTGACTACAAATGTGCGGAAACACAATCACACACACACAGACACACACACAGACACACAGGCACGCCAAAAGCAAGAGTTCCGAGATCTCATACCTCCATGAAATATGGGCTTGATATGTAAATGTAAATTTCTTCTTTAATTATGCAAATAACCTCTGCATTAACATAATATATGCATTGTGATGTTAACTTTTGATTAACTTACAGATGTCCCAAGTATGACATTCCCATTATTCACCATTAAGAAATCATAGAATTTCCGCATTAATTTATGCAAATTAGGTCATCATTTGTATAATTAGTATCTGTTGATGTTCCATCTGCCATTGGTTACATACATTACATGTATGCAAGTGCTATAATGTAAAACACTAATTATAGAATTTCCTCATTAATTATGCAAATAAAGTCCTCATTTGCATAATTTGCATTTAATTTTCTCAGCTACCTACACACCAAAACTGATGAAAATACGTTGTTCCTATCTGGACTTATTGGCTTTCAAAGATTTCGCCCGAAAGTCCCCTGCAGTTCCAGAACAAGCTGCTAGGACGACCAAACTCACACCACTTATTCCTGACAGGAAAAGCTATCAGTCACCAAAAATTCAAGAAGTATGTTCAGGACAAAAGATGCAAAAACCGGAAGTTCTGCTGCAGTATCAAGGTCATCTACCAGGAGGCCCATATTTGACCTTGACCTCCGTCTTCTACCAAATATCATCATAATCCATAAAGGCGTTATGAAGTTATGCTGACTACAAATGTGCGGAAACACAAACAAACAGACAGACAGACAGACAGACAGACACACAGACAGACGCGCCCAAAAAATACCTCCATTTTTCATGGAGGTAACGTTACAACAGTGTGGTAACAGCAGTGCACTGCGACTGCACTATCATCAAATCTATATTGACCTCTTGGGAGTTTAAAACTGATGTTACAAATGAAATCATATTAAATTCCTTTCACACTACATACATGGCCTTAAATGCCACTAATCAAAGTCACATTGGTATGATATATCATTGATTGCTTGATTTATTTTGTGTTCTTCAAGTAACTGAATTTTACTCCATGGAACCTTGATACACGTTTTATTTTGTGTTGTGTTAACGTGTACCGTATTGTATACTACAAAACTTTGGACAACCAAGAAAGTATACGTGTACGTGTTAATGTGAAACATAGGCTGAAGAGTCAAAGCCAGATTCAACATACAACTTGTATCTGCACCACTCAGTATGGATTATATTGAAACTATAGTGGTAACAGTCAATGCAGCAAATAAATATCCACACACACCTACATGTACATGTATGTATAAACCCAGTACAGGGGCCAGTGCAGATAGACATGCACAGCTCCAATTTTATGTGCAATAATATTAATCTGCAAGTACAGGTGGTATTTACTTTTACTGATGAATGTCGAACCTCCGTTGACATATCAACTACTTGGTCTAAGGTCTTGCAGACTGGCCCTGCCCTGTCTTAATTGTTTCAATATCTTTACACTGGTAATGATGGTCACTGGTCATTACAGTAGCTGTGGTGTTTGTGTTCTATTCAGTGTTGGCCTACGACTGGCCCTGCCCTGTCTTAAAATAATTGTTTTCAATATCTTCAATCATCAAGATCTTCATAATGGTAATAATGATCACCGGTCATTACAGTAGCTGTGGTGTTGGATTCGGCAATGGCCTGAGACTGACCCTGCCCTGTCCGGTCATGACCACTGGTCATTACAGTAGCTGTGGTGTTTGTGTTGGATTCAGTGATGGCCTGAGACTGACCCTGCCCTGTCTGTTCATGACCACTGGTCATTACAATAGCTGTGGTGTTTCTGTTGGATTCAGTGATGGCCTGAGACTGACCCTGCGCTGTCTGATCATCACCACTGGTCATTACAATACCTGTGGTGTTTGTGTTGGATTCAGTGATGACCTGAGATTGACCCCGCCCTGTTTTAACACGGGGGTTGTCAATATCCTCATACTGGTCATCACCACTGGGACTGAGACTGACCCTGCCCTGTTTGCTCGTTACAATGTCTGATTGTTGGGTTATTTGGTAGTGTTTCGTTCCCTGCGTGCATGGCATTTGGTTTTAAGGCAGCTAGCATGTCCGATAGATTTGCAGCGTTAGGAGATTGAATGTTAGCCTGAGCCTGGCCCTGTCCTGTCTGTTCATGACCACTGGTCATTACAGTAGCTGTGGTGTTTGTGTTGGATTCAGTGATGGCCTGAGACTGACCCTGCCCTGTCTGATCATGACCACTGGTCATTACAGTAGCTGTGGTGTTTGTGTTGGTATCAGTGATGACCTGAGACTGACCCTGCCCTGTCTGACCATGACCACTGGTCAGCTGTGGTGTTTGCTTTGGGATTCAGTGATGGCCTGAGACTGACCCTGCGCTGTCTGATCATCACCACTGGTCATTACAGTAGCTGTGGTGTTTGTGTTGGATTCAGTGATGGCCTGAGACTGGCCCTGCCCTGGTCGATCATGACCACTGGTCATTACAGTAGTGGTTTTGTACAGAGAATTAAGCTGAGAGACTATCGGCCCTGTGCCATAAAATGGATTTTCAGTATCGAAGGTTTCAGTGATGGCCTGATACCGACCCTGTCCTGTCTGATCATCGCCACTGGTCATTCACACAGTAGCTGTGGTGTTTGTGTTCTATTCAGTGTTGGCCTACGACTGGCCCTGCCCTGTCTTAAAATACTAGTAATTGTTTTCAATGTCTTCAATCATCAAGATCTTCATAATGGTAATAATGGTCACTGGTCATTACAGTAGCTGTGGTGTTGGATTCAGCAATGGCCTGAGACTGACCCTACCCTGTCTGGTCATGACCACTGGTCATTACAGTAGTGGTTTTGTACAGAGAATTAAGCTGAGAGACAGTCAGCCCTGTGCCATAAGATGGATTTCTAGCATCCAAGGTTTCAGTGTTGGTCTGAGACTGACCCTGCCCTGTCTGATCATGACCACTGGTCATTACAATACCTGTGGTGTTTGTGTTGGATTCAGTGATGGCCTGAGATTGACCCCGCCCTGTTTTAACACGGGGGTTGTCAATATCCTCATACTGGTCATCACCACTGGTCATTTCAGTAGCTGTGGTGTTTCTGTTGGATTCAGTGATGGCCTGAGACTGACCCTGCTCTGTCTGATCATCACCACTGGTCATTTCAGTAGCTGTGGTGTTTCTGTTGGATTCAGTGATGGCCTGAGACTGACCCTAGCTCTGTCTGATCATGACCACTGGTCATTTCAGTAGCTGTGGTGTTTTCTGTTGGATTCAGTGTTGGCCTGAGACTGACCCTGCCCTGTTTGCTCGTTACAATGTCTGATTGTTGGGTTATTTGGTAGTGTTTCGTTCCCTGCGTGCATGGCATTTGGTTTTAAGGCAGCTAGCATGTCCGATAGATTTGCAGCTTTAGGAGATTGAATGTTAGTCTGAGCCTGGCCCTGCCCTGTTTTATACTGGTTGTCATGACTACTTGTCGACACAGAAATTACTGCGTTTGTGTTGCCGCCAACAACATTGGGATTCAGTCCTAAAGGAGGGTTCCTGGTCCTCTTCTTGTACCAAACTGTAACAATGATGGTGCCCATCAGGACAATGCCAGCTACTGGACCAAAGACTGAGCCAATGAGAACAGGTAGGGGGGAACTGGGAGTAGTTTCTGGTTTGTCTGAAGTGATTGCAAGGGATAAAGTTAGCGTTAATCTTGTTTTGCTTGCTTTGCCTGAAGGATATGCTGTTTTGCCAGGATCGCGTGTAAAGAACCAGTGATAGCGAGAGGTGAATGTGTCATTGTAACAACTTTTAGCAATTTGTAATGGGTTTAACATGGGGCTGTATGACAGACGTCAATCCTACAGGATGTGATGATGGGCCAGTATTGCTTTCTGTGCTGCCAACTGCAGACGAGGTTCGGATATCAACAGTTGTTGGCAAAACGGTTAGCTCTTTACAAATATCTTTAGGATCAATATCTGTAAGCCTTTTATTGTAAAGTTTGGGGGGTCCTTTACATATTAAATTTTTGAACTTACTTGAAGGAATTTTCGTGATGTTAAATTTGAAAAGTGCAATCTTACAGTCACAGTGAATAGGGTTAAATGCAAGGTTTATGGTACGAATAGATGGCAACAAGCCAAAAGCTGAAGGGAGAATGGCAGACAACTGGTTACTCGAGAGGTCCAAAGTTTCGAGCTGAGGCAGATCTTCAAATGCATTAGACTGGATGGTATCTATCTGATTGCGGGACAGAGTCAAGTGTTGTAGTTGGGATAGATTTGCAAATGTACCTGTCGTAATCTTTGTTATCTTGTTTTTGTACAGGCACAACTCTTTTAGTCCGGGTAGATTTAGAAACGGAATTATTTCTAACTTGTTGCTGTCCAGGGACAACTTTGCCAGTCGTGGTAGATTTGCAAATGTAACGTTTCGTATTTTGTTGTTGTACAAGTGCAACTTCTCTAGTAGGGGTAAATTACGGAATGTATCAATCTGAATCGTTCTTATCTGGTTGTTAAACAGGTACAACTCTTTTAGTCCGGCTAGATCTTGAATTGCCCCTGCTTGAATAATTGTTATCTTGTTATTGTTCAGATCTAGCCTTTCTAGCGTGGGAAGCTTTTGAAAAGAATCTTTCTGAATGGTTGTTATCTGGTTGTTTGCCAGTTTTAAGTATCGTAGCTCGGGTAGATTTTGAAATGTTTTTGCTTTAATAATTGTTATCTTGTTGCCCATCAGGCCCAATCTTTGTAGATTGGGTAGATTTTGAAACGTACCAACCTGAATCATTGTTATCTGGTTGTCTGACAGGATTAGCGACCGTAGTTTGGGTAGAGTTTTGAATGTATCGGGATCAATCATTGTTATCTTGTTATCATGAAGGTGCAAACACGACAAATTCCTATACCTATTAATAGCCGGGTTTACAGATGTAATATGATTACTACGCAACTCCAAGCTTTCGATGGATGGTGGGAGGTCTGGAGGGATGCTGGTGAGGCCCTTTCTCCTGCACCAGCATGATGATGGCGCACAGCTGGTGTCTAGCATGTTGGGCTCCTTCAGGCAGTGTGATGGTTCACAGCTGTAGTTAGCGCCTGGCATGTTGGGCTCCTTCAGGATGATGAGAAGAAAGATCAGCACGTGTTGCAGTTTTCCTCCCATGGTGCTCTGCCACCTAGGAAGATAAAGAAATAACTTTCCAAATTCTAAAATTCTAAAATTCTAAAATTCTAAAATTCTAAAATTCTAAAATTCTAAAATTCTAAAATTCTAAAATTCTAAAATTCTAAAATTCTAAAATTCTAAAATTCTAAAATTCTAAAATTCTAAAATTCTAAAAGCGAATCAATTAGGCTCTACCCGGAATATTTTACCCTAGTGTGAATGGGGCTTAAGACCGCCCCAACTATATGTTGATTTGAATCTCGAATTAAAAGATAAGCTTGACATGAACAAAAAACGTTGAGAGGAAAGCCCCTTTTACAAAGGAGAGAAAATGTAGTCGGACTCAAATAGTTTTCCTAGGATTTGTTTTTGATTTTACCTCGAAATGAAAACCAAGAAAGGTGCATTGTTGTGCACAATTACACCGATGCCCGTACTGGCTGCCAGGTGGACTCTCTAGTGCACCTTACTATATATATATATATATTATCAATCTTTATTCAGATTCAATATACATAACAATCACGTTGGAAACGAGACAAACTGATAAATGAACAAGAAACGAATAAACAATTATGGTACAGTAACTAATCTACAAACAAAAAACGGTAAAACCATAGCTAAATTATCTAATCAAATAACGAGTACAATTTCCTCCACTTGTCCATGTGTTTTGATACTTCCCCTCTGATTCTTGCAATATTAATCTCCAAAATCGTTGAAATATTTGACAAAAGATACAAAGTTCGACAATTTTAACATTCCCTGGCGATTTTTGAAAATGTAGATTTTTCCTAACAGCATGATTAAATTGGAAATGGCAGAGCATTGATCATTCAGATCCCCAAACACTATGTTAAAACCATTCAGTTTTAGATTGGTTTCTGTTTTGTCCTGGAACCAGTCATAAACAGATTCCCAAAAATAAAAGACTTTAGAACAGTTCCAAAAGATGTGTTTTGGTGTTTCTTCCTCCTCACCACACAAAGAGCAATTTGGCGAGTTTTTTAATGTTCCAGAGATACAATTTCTTGTTTGTGGCTAAGAATTTATAAAGTAATTTAAATTGAAATATTCTGGTTTGGGTATCCATTACAAGTCTGTATGGTAAAATAAACACTTTTTCCATGGTATGACTTCATTTGAAATCATCTTCCCAGTATGATATGATTTTAACTGGATTTGTTATAAAGGGCTTCATGAAATGATTATACATCTTCTTGTTAATTTTACAACCTGTCAGCCATTGGTACTTCTTTAAAGTAGGCCTGCACACCTGCAAGTGCGCACCACTGCATTCAGCCCTCATAGAACCGTTGCGAGAGATCGCAGAAACTAACATATTATAGGATTATTTGGAACAGACATATGTAAATTTCTTAACAAACAAACACCTTACTATATTTGCCGCGTCGAAGTGAGTTACATGTACCTTGGGGTGCATAACTATAAAAATCCACATAAGGCGAAAACTGTGTTCTGCCACTTTAACTACATGTCCCCAACGGATCCCCCTTTTGCAATTGTGGCCGAAGCATTATATGGACCTGTTAATTGTCTGAGACTTGCTGGTTGAATATCCATGTTGTGTACTGCTGCTTATGACTCCATTTGCACCCTCAGACAAGGAATGGGCAGAAGAGTAGAGAATTGAACACTTCTTTTTAAAATAATCTTTAGTCAATCATCTGTTCTTTTCTGTCATACCATTAAAACAGTCATTTTTCTTAGACCCTCTTATTAGTCACATGCACCCTTATGAATAATGTACAAAATCTCAATAGCACCAATGATACTGTCTACCGAACTAACGTAATCTTCTAGCAGATATTAAGATGAAAGATTGGTAACGTTTTCTGACGGCCGGGCGTCACTGACAGCTATGTATCATGATTGCTGACTGAAAACGGCATCTTAACATCTGCTTGGAGAATAAACCCCTTATTGCATATGTCTATGTGCGTATATATGCCTGGGAAAATTTTGAAAAGCGTCTTTACTAAAAATGTGGCCATTTACTTTTATCCACCGACAAAAGCATACCTTTCAAGTGAGTCAGAATAGCTTCAGTTGGCACTTTCTTGGCAAGAACTCGGGCGCAGCTCGCTGTAACAGTTGTTCTTGTAGGGTGTGTTCTCCTTCTGTAGCTGGTCCAAAATGCCGTGTGAAAAACAACCCGAGATTGGTCCTACGTATATGGTGGAGTTGATTGTCTGAAGCTGGCTATTTGAATAACATTAACATTTATGACCATGATAAAAATTCTAATGATGATGCATCTTTACTTATTTTCATAATAAGAAAATAAAAACTAGGAACAGATTTTTAAGATCTGATTGAGAAAGACAGGCATATTTGTCAAATTCTGGCATAAAAGTAAATGCAACGTAAATTTTAATTAGTTATATATTTTGTAATAACATGCGTGTGTTTTTTATTGTATAAACAACAGTGTGGGAGAGTGCCTTATGTAAGAGTGACCCTGTCAGAATGTGTGTGGGCTGATCTAGGAGATTGCTCGACGAATTTGTTATGAAAATGGAATAATAAAAAACTGTTTTACAAAATCTATCGGCTTTTTTTCGTGCTTTCCATAATTTCTGTATCAAATCATGCTGTAGATAGACTTTTGGAAAAATTATCGATTTGGTAGGTACCCAGTTACCCAGCATCCTCTGCGTGAAGTGACACCCTTAAAATCAGAGCTGATAAGTTACGTCCGATTTCGAAACTCCGATTTCGAACGTTGCTCCCAAGTTCGAAACGGATTCTAAAGTTCGATTCTTGGCTGGAAATGCAAGTTTTTTGTCATCCATTTTTTGCCAATATGTAAAAGTGATTTTAAAAAATCTTCCATGGCGATGTTGTTAAATTTGTTTACAAAATCAACGTGGAAAATTTGGAAAAATTCCATATACATGTAACGTTATATAGATATCTTCAGGTGCAAGGCTGCAGCCTTAAAATGAAGGTGAAGTGTTTTCTCCATGTTTTTATTCCCTCTTAACATGCAGCACTTAAATGTTTCTAATTGCTGTTACATTAATAGTTATTAGCAATTATATAGACGCTACGCAAGAGCGACAACAGCAAAATAGACGCTATATACTGTAAGACTTAATAGATGAAAATAGCAAAACATTCTATATGTCTAGAATGTATGGATATGTCAGCTCAGACACGGAACAATCGAAGTCTCGTGTCTCGCGAGAGAATGTCACTTTTCAGACGACGAGCGTTGCCTGGCAACGTGACGTCACATCCCTTCCAGTGATCGTGAGGGACGTTTAACAAGTCGACCGTCTGGTTGCGTGTTTGAACCCCGTGGTCGGATGTAATGTGTACGTGGACACGCAGCATTTTATGTTCTATCCGTCAATTCTACCCACAAGTATTCAACTAGATTTTCCAATTCTTACAGTTTCAAACTCCCTAAACCAAAAACAAACAGCAAAAAGTGAACATTTCTGTACCGCGCCATTGATCTATGGAACACCCTGCCACCCAGTATCAAAACACTGACCTGTCTGCATCAATTCAAAAAGGCCATCCACCAGTTCTACATAAGTTAAGTTGAATATTTTAAGTTAAGTCATGATCGTTTTGTTAACCAGTATATAATTTGTGATGATATGTATGTTCATTCTCTTTTAATTTTGCTGTCAATATGTTTGTATTTTTATGTTTTGAACCTTGAATATTAGACATGGACTAAAGGGTATCGAAATGAACGAAATATCTCTAAATGTATCGCCACGTGCGCTAGCTCGAGAGGGAATTAGTAGTAGTAGCAGTAGTAGGCACCCTTCCATCTCGAAAGATGAGAGAGGAAATTATTGATGGAGAAAATCGCCCACCGGATCGACTGATGGAGACACAATGGCCGGTCTCGACATTGCGACATGGATTTTAATGTAGGAGTTGTAGACTTGTATATTTACGCTAATAGCTGTATAAAGAAGCTACAAGTTGCATTGGCACGTGGCACCGGACCTGGTGATTGAGTCGCGGCCGCCGGTCTTACCTTGACATAAGATATGGATATTGAAGCCAATACTTGTAGTACAAAGAATCGAGAAGAAGTCATACACTAACACGTGCAACTGAATCTGCTTCTTGAGATACGACAACCAGTATTACCTTGGCAGTTAGATATTGGGGCTAATAATTGTAGATAGAAACAAGAAGAAGTTACTATACACCAACACGTGCGACTGAATCTGATGCTTAGGATACGACCACCTGTCTTGCTTTGACATTACTTTTATTTTTTTATTTTATGACGATTTACCACATTTGTGGAAGGATTGACATAACAGGTGACAATCACCTCTTCAAAGATGTCAACCCCGAGACCAGACTGTAAGGCTTGAACCACTCACACCGGGAAGGTCCCCTACTCTTTTCGATAAGTGCGGTGGGTTCTTTAACGTGCGTGGGGTGTGGCTCTCCCAAACACGGGACCTCCATTTAACGTCCTATCCGAGGGACGTCCCTAGCCGAAGCTAGGTACTCATTTACACCTGAGTGAAGTGAGAAAAGTCGTGTAAAGTGCCTTTCCCAAGGGCACAAGATCGATGACATGGGCAGGGTTCGAACCCACGACCTCTCGGGTGTGAGCCGAACGCGCTACCGACTGCGCCACACGACCCCACATATTACGATATGGAAATTATAGCTTATATTTGTAGTACAAAGAACTGAGAAGAAGTTACTATACACTGACACGTGCAACTAAATCTGCTGCTTAAAATATGACCACCTGTCTTGGCTTTCAATTGATATGGATATTGATGCTGATACTTGTAGTACAAAGAATCGAGAAATCATTATACACTAACACGTTCAACTGAATCTGAAGCTTAAGATACGACCACCAGTCTTACCTTGACATTAGATATGGAAATTGAAGTTGTAATTTGGACTGAGTTAATTCCCCCCAGGGCACGTTGAAAAGCGCCCCCATGCGATATGTATCCCTTGATGAAATAAATATAAAAAATATTTCTTCTTGAACCATTGTTTGTCATATATGAGAAGCAAAATACACACTGAAGTGACACTGCAAGTATGAAAATTGTGCTACATTTCAAATAAATTTTGTACCCGTGATGCATAAGAATTAATAACCACGTGCACGTGCTTTCGCTGATTACTTCAAACACACGTGCTAGTGACTTGGAGAAAAACAACATTTTAACAGCAATATTCATTCGCATAAACCATTTAAATCTCCAGTACCAATAACTTAGCAGTTTCAAATTCCACCAATAATCTTAAATCCAAATTACTTCATCAACATTACAATACAAATGGGCTTGATATGTAAATGTAAATTTCTTCTTTAATTACACAAATGTCCTCTGCATTAACATAATATATGTATCGTGATGTTAACTTTTGATTAACTTACAGATGTCCAAGTATGACATTCCCATCATTCACCATTAAGAAATCATAGAATTTTCGCATTAATTATGCAAATTAGGCCATTATTCGCATACTTAGTATCTGTTGATGTTCCATCTGCCATAGGTTACATACATTACATGTATGAAAGTACTATAATGTAAAACACTGTAATTATAGAATTTCCTCATTAACTATGCAAATAAAGTCCTCATTTGCATAATTTGCATTTAATTGTGTACATCTCTCTCTCAGCTACCTACCTACCAAAAATGATGAAAATGCGTTGTTCCTATCTGGACTTATTGGCTTTCTAAGATTTCGCCCAAAGGTCCCCTGGTGTTCCAGGGGGACCAAACCCACACCACTTATTCCTGACAGGAAAATCTATCTATCACCAAAAATTCAAGACCACAGCATGTTCAGGACAAGAGATACAAAAACCGGAAGTTCTGCTGCAGTACCAAAGTCATCCACCAGGAGGCCCATATTTGAACTTGACCTTCGTCTTCCTAAGACTTACCAGCATACCAAATATCATCACAATCCATAAAGGCGTTCTGAAGTTATGCTGACTACAAATGTGCGGAAACACAAACACACACACACACACACACACACACACAGAAACACACACACACAGACAGACAGACGCGCCAAAAACAATACCTCCATTTTTCATGGAGGTAAAAAGGAGTACAGAGATTTTGTACTCTAGACCAAATTGATTTCTAGTATTGAAAAACGTTCCTTTATCTAGAACAATGTCCCTCTGACGAAGGCTTGACATCTCCGACCTCTAGTTTGATGATTAAAGTGAAGCACACAGATAGTTATCATGACTTGTAATGTATCATTCTGCGGTTAAAAGCCTGTACAACTGCAGTTCATAAGCAAATCGCTAAGGAGGGCTGAACTAAAACTACCCCCTGTGGCGTACAGTACCAATATTGTAAGATTTTTCCGACTTATGTTCTCCAGAAATGTACTTTTACGCCGACCCCGGCAAACAAAGTAAAGGACTGGAAAAATAACATCGTGATCGGAAGTAAGTTCTGTAAGGTGAAACGGTAAATGTGGATGTGTCAAAGGAAGGAGTGACTCATACGTCATACATATAAGAATAGTTCAGCAACATTCAGGGTTAGGCCACACCGACCTAATTTTAAGGATGACATCATCTGAAGACCCCTGAACTAGTGCGCGCGGGCGAATAAAAAAAATCCGGCCAAAAATAAAAATGCTACTAAACCACAGGAATACAAAGCTGGTATTGTGAATTTGCAGCAGTACATAGCGACGTATACGACAAGCCGGCACATGCTGGCTTTTTGTGGAATCTATGGATCGGCACTGTGGGTATGCACTGAGTTCTTGAGTCGTGAAACATTGGCAGCCTGGGTGCCGTCCTCCATAGTTACCTCCGGCTCCCTATCGTCGCTAATTACTACAATGGTTTACCCAGGCCTAGAGCCAGGCCAGGGCCTAGGAGGACGTGACGTTTAAAAAAAAGCGAAAACGAATGCGTGCGTGGATGTCATCCATAAAATTAAGACGGTGTGGCCTTAACCTAGAAACGAGGCGGAAGGATATTACTGGCCTAGATAAACAGACGTATGTGCGCAGTCATGATATTACCGAGAAATCGAATTGCCTCAAAAATTGTTCAGTGAATTAGACTTGCAGACGATATTGAGAAAAATCCACATTGGTTTAAGAATGGCCGCAAGGAGCAACCGCAGAGTATTGTGTTTGATGCTGTGATGAAATATTAAATCACAAAGGAATAACCATATGATAATTTCATAGAAGTTCATCTGTGTTGGTATTAATCATAGTAGGATGATTGCAAGCCATAATTATAATAATCTTTAAGAAGGGTACCGCCGAAATCGGTAATATCAATGGAACCAAGCTCCATTAAAATTTTATTCATTTATTCAAAACTGTAACGCGACAATACAAGGAGTGCACAAGGCAGCAAGATATCTAACAAAAACAAACAAGCAAACAAACAAACAAACAAACAAACAAACAAAACAGCTGGTTCCTTTTTAATCAAAATTCACTTCCTCTCATCCGTAATAATTACATTAAATGCAAAGGTGTAGATTATACAAGAGAATATATATATAGTTGAAAATGATCAAGCCTGAAGCTATCCGCCCACTACCCCCAGTCCCGCTCTTTCTAGGAACACCCACACAGAAAATGACGGTGTCAAATTTACCGGACGGTTCATGTACCCCGAACCCGGGCTGACGAATGGTAGCTAAGGCGTGGCACGCCCTCTGCTTACGTCATTGTTTACCTACAAAACGGCAGGCGCTAAGTACTGCGGCAGTGCAGTCAGACGTCGAGCTGGACGTGACACTGGAACTAGAATCCTGAGGTGTTCAGACGTAGTCACAGACGTAACATGGCAGTCACAGGCGGCCCGAGGAACGCGCTAGGACTGGGGACCAGAGTGCTGGTGGTGCTGTGTGTTTTGGGGGCGTACCACGGCGTGACAGGTACGGGTTCCGTGTTTGTGTTCCTCCTATAACGTTTGCTACACATGTACATAACAGTGGGCTTCACAAGTACTTACGGGCGCTGGGTTTAAAATCAGCTCGGGGGCTGAGTATTTTAGTATCTTTCTCACACTTGTGTCAGAAATGTAAACGAATAAAAAAAAAGAGGAATATTTCGTCTTTCCCTTCGAAATCACATGACCGTCCCTAGGGATAATAGACACATTCCATTGGGGTTAAAAACTAGTACGGCGCGTTCTTCTGGTAATCTGTCCTGTAATAGGTGTTATTATTCACACAATAACAACCACTTTGCCACTCAGAAATAACTTAATTTTGTGGCCATGGAAAACTAGTGCATAGTTGTTTAAGCATATCACTTGTTGGCAAACTTGTTAGGGTTTAAAACTGTACTACAAGGGACCCTGATCGTGAGTTTGTCGGACAACACAAACGTAATTGTCTGGATTTGATAACACCAATGTTTGTCACATACCCCGTAAACTAGAGCATAAAGGTGTCAGGTAGCAATTACAGGTGTTGTAGTGTTATTTGTCACGCACATTTTCACACGAGGAGCCGTCACAAACTTCGTTGGGATTTGGCGTAGGGTGGCGTTGTGGTAGATCATTCGACTGTGAACCTGGAGACCCGGGTTCGATTCCGGGTCGTACCCGGGACATGTCTGGATATGCGCCCGACGTTGCGCCCTTGGGAAAGGCACTTTACACGAATTTCCTCACTCCACCCAGGTGTGAATGGGTACCTAACTTCGGTTGGGGAAAGCCATATTGAGGTCACCTTGTGGCACCGAATGGCAGCCGCACAGACCCTTGTGGCCTATCCACAAAAATGTGGAACAAATATGTATCATGTGTATTATGTTCTTAAAATCTTATTATGTGTATCATTACCATTAGTATCATTATACCATTGTAAACCCTGCATCAATTCAGCACTATAAGGCTGCGATTACACGGGTGATGTTTGGCCAACAAACCATTTATTATTATTATTATTATTTCGGCCTAGTTAGCTAATTAAAATGTTAGACGGTCGTTCTGATCACACGCCGTGTGACCAGAACGACCGTCTAACATTAGCTAACTAGGCCGAAATAAAATCCCAACGAAGTTGCGTTTATAATTTAACACATTATACATACGGAAGTTAGTTCTGTTTGCTACCATTAAACTACCTTATACCAAACGGTTTAGCAATTGTTAAAAAGGAAGGGCGAGATCTAGAAGTGAAATAATGTATAAAGACCTTTATTGTACAAATATGTATGCCCAATGTGTTAAGTACAGGTCACGGCACAGAAATACTAGTAGCTTGAAGTGTTTGATGTAGGAAAACATTGATGTTATCAGTCTATAAAGTTCGACTCTCTCGTTGTTGTACAAACTACGTTCTACTACAAATGATCATTTTCTATTCTAAATCACCATGTCGACAAACCCTTTAATTTGTTCCACAATAATGCCACAGTAGTGCTCTAACCATTGATGTAAGGAAATTTTAGCCTACAAGTTAACTTGCCATCAGCTAATATTCCGGAGCCAAATTTGACGTTGTATTGAATAACAGAATGCACAGCTTGTACCTTTGTTGGGCGCAGATATATCTTAACTTCTTACTTTAACATTGCTAGTGAATTTTGTGCAGAATCTAGAAATTGCCCCCCTCCCTCCCTTACCATATTTTACGTTTCTTCCTCTAGAGTTCAAAGGCGTTGTTTATATGCCTTCAGAAGCTGTGAATAATTTGGGGTTTAGTTTGGGGTTTAGAAGACTTATTCGAGCGGAAACGGGATTTGACCGACTGGTTTTGTGGACACTTTCCCCTGTACTTTGTCCCTTATGACACCACAATCCTAATTAGACCACAGACAGGCGCGGAGGTATGTGGAGAGAACAAATACTTTGCGTGATCAAGTCAGTCCAACTAGCTCGGTCTCTAAGCCCAGGGGTATGTTAGACTTAATCTTCAAGCAGATGTACGAGGGGGTTTGGCATGTTTTGGGCCCTTGAGGCTGAGACTACCAGGCTAAGAGGCGGCTGGAAAGAGTATAAATTGGCCGGGCAAATAAACAGATACTATACCAGGGGATTTAGACTAAGCCTGTAAAGGAGTTTACCTACCTGAAAACTGTAAGTTAGCGGACTAACTCCACTGGCATGTTATCTGTCTATTTTGTCTACTCTTTACAATTTCTACTCTTTCAGTCAAAACCCCCACGCTCTGAAGCCTGGTAGAGGCTAGGCTGTGACCGTGTGCGACAGACCGTTACTGTCTATGCGTTTTGTTGTCTTTCAAGTTCATAATTAAACATCGCAATTTCTGTCGGAAAGGGGGTCTATGTTGCATGAAATTTTTTATACGTCTTTCCAGACTGGGCATGTTTTATCCACTTCACTTGAAAGCCTGACAAAAGACAGCAGAAAAGCATACAAAACACGCTGCACATTTGTTTTTAGATTACTGTGTACGTACCTAGGGATTTGCGGGTCATTTCACTCAGTTCCTCTCCATTTCATGACTCACATCTGTATCTAGAAACCTGTTGTTTGCTTTGTCACCCTTAGATTAACGTAAAACCATCTGCCTTAAGGCATCAGGGTGACAAATATTCTATATGAGGACATCAGTCTGATATTAGCATTTACTGCCATTTCATAGCAGTACATTTTCGAAATCATTTCATAGATGCTTTTGACATAACTCCAAAACAAGCTACGTAAAGGAATGCGTCTCTTTATTTTTTTGGTACCGACCATGAATACTAGTAGCTAGGACTGTTTACCAGCTATATCGCCTTTTGTCTCACACATATCGGTATAGCCTCTACCAGGCTTGAGGGCGCGGCTGGAAATAGTAGAAATTGGCCAAATAGAGAGATAACAGGCCGAGGTAGTTTAGCCATCCAGTTTACAGTTTGGATGGCTAAAATTCCCTCGACGTGTTATCTCTCTATTTGGCCAATTTCTACTATTTCCAGCCGCGCCCTCAAGCCTGGTAGAGGCTAATCCGTATTCTATAGGATTGAAAATTGAATGTGAAAATGCAGTTTTAACGTCCTGAAATCGCCTTCAGTGCCTGGTAAGTCAGATGCGTGACAAGAACGGCTGGTGTTTCACAAAGGGGATTTACACACCTATTGTAGTCATCGCTCTCTATTCATAACTTTGTCTTGCCTAATTAAATGCAAGATAACACATAATTGAGGGTCACTCGCGGTGTCAGTGGTATAATAGAAAACCAAAACCCGGGATATGACGACCAAGAAACCGACTAAGCCACTACTGAATACACGATATACACGAGCGAATACACAATACAAACCAACGTGCGTATATGCCATTTCCTTGAAAAAAGTCAGCCACAACAGTCAACTGGTTTAATCAATGCTTAATAATTGAAAATATCTCACGCAGAAAATGGTTTTAATTGGATATTTTAGAATGAATTTAATGAAATGTTTCTAAAAGAAAGAGTCCATAAAACGATTGGCGATATGTTTTTTTTGTGATTATGAAAGGAAATGACATGTTACAAAACAAAATGTGTCGATGGCCTCTAGTTAAACGGATATGGCTGTTATGATATACCATTATTAAATCACAAGAGAGAGAACATCTGGTGACTAGATGTCCGGGCTATGTTGAACTTCCTTTCTCGATAAGTTGGCTAACAATGTTACTTCGTGACTGTAAACTATTAATAGTCTAGTTGCCTTGTTACATGCAATATGAGAAAGAATGTCCACGATTTGTCACAAAACAAATGTTTTGTCCTGCTGGACTTTTTTTACACAATATTTTTAAGTAATTTGAAGTCGTAATCAGGTCACAGACCCCTGACATTTTTTTGCCCTGCAGTGGCATAGTTACTTCTGCATTCGTTGCGTTTCGCTGCGGTGTGATGCATTGCTCGAGAAACACCCCCAAATCGTACGTATACAGGGCGCTATATAGAAGGTACTGTATGTGCAACCCATATACATGTATATGGGTGCGGCAGGACAAGGGTCGGTGACGATACAAAGTTCTGTCAAACAAGATGGTGGTGCAACTACAATGTCAGTGACGGAGTTCCTGACTAAGTAGAAATCTACTCATCACTTCCTCACTGGGCCAATGATGTCCGTTTTACTTCGTAACTGTTTACTCTGACTGTATTCCATTGTTGAAGTAGGATAGACACGTATGATCTGTCACGTACCAAATGTTTACCAAATATTGAATCGGTCACAGCTGCCAAAACAAACCGGATACGGATAGGGTTACATTTTCTGACATTGTTATTCATTGTTTTCTCGGTACATTGTACTCATGACGTCCTTTTACTTCATGACTGTACTCTATGAATAGTCCTGTGTTTTGTTACACCATGAGGGACATGTGATTTGTAACGTAACAATTGTTTACAAAACGTTGTTCTATTGTTCAACTTCTGGAGGGGTTCTTGGCAGAGACTGGGTCAAACTGACTCATCCACAGAAACAGCCTGACACACAAATAACAAATATGACTGGGGTCGTGAGGCTTAACGTTCGGAAGAACCTAGAGGTCCCGGGTTCGAATTCTGATTTGTCACTGATCTTGTCTTGCCAACACAATAACAAGTACAATTGTCTATTTTTAGCATTTCAGTGACGTTCTGCCATCCTTAAAATCCGATAAGATCGGTGGCATGTCAGGACTCGAACCCGGGACTCTAAGTTCCGAGTCGCGTACTCTGCCGCTACGCTACACGACCCCACACGAACACCGCTATTATCGCACACCCAAAAGGCCGGCAAAATTAATGACAAGTCCAAGAAAACGTATAAAAACACGCCAAAAATAAACCAAAACCCAAACCTCTGCTTGGAGAGTACGAATATATATCAGTATGCTATGGGATAGGCTGATTTAACGTTTGATTTAACGAAAATCCAGGTTTATCGCCCTGATATTATGTCCCGTATTGGATGTCTTTAATAACACATTTGTGTTATTTTGTATATACAGGTGAAACTGTTCGGGCGTGCGAACATCAATGGCTAATAATCACATGTGCTGAAGGAGGAACTATCGATGTTTCATACGCGAACTATGGCCGGACGTCGTCCACACACTGCACGGATGTGAGTACAATATTTTTTGAATGAATGAAGACCTTTATTGCACATTTCTGTCACACTTGGCTAAGTACAGGTCACAACAAAACAAGATGAATGGACACGGTTAACAGATGCAAAAGAAACTGACTATCGTTATATAAATTCAACTTCTCCTCGCTTTTCGGTTATTGTAGAGATAAAGGTACAGATCTGTTTTCTTGATGGGTGGTTTTTCTAGTCGCATAAGGAATATGAATTTTTCTACAGTACTTAAGTGCGTGAAATAGTGGAATAGGTGTTGTACAAACATATACAGTTCATTTCTCTCTCTGCTATACAGTTAACATTCTGTTACAAAATGGCGTTCGTCTTCTATTTTGTTCAAGTTACAATATTTACATAATCTATGTTCAAGGGGAGTGCGGGTATGTCTTCCGATTTCAATATGTAATCTGTGGCAGCTTATTCTAAGTCTTGTGACAGCATTTCTCACCCTCATATTTTCGTTACTTAGATATTTTTCTTCATTATATTATGCACGTGTATGTGTAGAGGGGGTGGGAGGGAATGGGAACGAGAACATCCAAGCGTACACGAGAACGCCCGAAAATGCACGAGACCACCCGAAAACTGACGAGAGCTCCCAAACAGGCCAGGAGAAATCCATGAAGCATTCTTTCTAAAACATTTCGATTTTCATCTAATTTGTATTTCAAAATCTACATACACGTGTTTAAATTATATATTTCTTGTTTTATTTCTTGTTCCAACAGGGTCCTCGCGTTACAGATACCGACTGTATATCCGACACTAGTGAGAATCTGGTGTCCCAACTTTGCAGTGGACTCACCACATGTTCCATACGAGCGTCTAACTCAGTATTCGGCGACCCTTGTGTCGGTACCTACAAATACCTGGAGGTGGTGTACAGCTGTGCCAGCACTGGTGCTGTCACAACACAGCAGATGACAGCAGTAACCAGAGATACACAGGGTAAAGAACTGTGCCATTCCGCAATATTTCGAGAAAATATTCAAAGAATGAAGAAATGATGTACATGTATAGCAGCAATGCTATGTACAACAAGACTGGCAATGAAAACATACATTGCCATGGCGACGGTGGTTGCTGTTAGGGTTATTGTTTGCATGGCACTGCCATGATTTCATGATTTTGAGGAAGACTTGGTATCTGTTAAGTCTAGACAGATACAGTGCATACAAAATGCCTGTATCATTCCTAGAATTCTTGCAAACTGCACACAATAGTGTACCATTAGGCTCCTCCCTGAGACGTCGCCAAAAACGACAGGAAATTTGTATGTAGAGGATAGTATCACTACCCGGCCCTGCTAAAGAGAGTTTCAGAACAGAGTTAATTCATGCCTATTTTGTTATCATATATATAGCGTTACAGAAAAAAGTTACAACACTGTATCAATCACATAAATTGAGTCATTTTACGTGTGCACCCTGTATGCTGTTTGTTACTGATGCTCTATTTAGGCATTGTCAATCTATGGTGATGTTCATTTTTATGTCGATCTTAACCTATGTAATTATTTATATGATATAATACCATAACCAACATTCTGCAATCATTCAGGATATTGTCCAGAGCACGTGTATGAGACGGAGGATATGCGGCTGGTTTTCCCCCGTACGGAAGGTGGAGGTTTCAACTACTCCGTGGAGCGCTGTCCCTCCTCCTCAGGTAAAGTAGCAGTACACAGTTTTCGCCCAGTGGGGATTTCTATAATTAAGGAGCCCAAAGTGAGAAGGTTCGACACTGTAAAATTTATATTAGGGTGCACAAGCGAGTTCAGTATGTTTGGGTTGAGGGTACACCCTGCAAAATGTGTGAAAATCAGCTGAAAATCACTTTAATTTGGCGCCTTGCGGGGGTCATATGAACTGCAGCCGACGTTAGGTCGTAACAAATCGACCCCGGCCGAACAAACACCCTAATTCAAATCACACGGTCTCAAACCCAATCCTCTACTTCAGCATAGTTTTCACCTCGCTATCCTGCACGAGAGAATTTCAATTCCCAAGTACTGTGCCGCACTACTTTGTGCCCGGAATACACGGTTCGCCCATAGATACTGTGTACTGCGACCGTAACGGTCATCACACGGGCTGATAAGGTTTTGCCAAAAATAAGAAGTCTTGAAAACGCATGTGTGTGTTTGATAGAGTTTGTCAAATCTTAATGTATAGCAATGTTCAATGCTTTATTTTCAAGAAGTACGTTTCTATATTATATCGCGGCTAACTGTTACTATAGATTATGAAGTGTTTGAATACGACTTGAACTTCAACATTTGCCGTGTAGTCTTCATTTAGAGTTACATGTAAATTGTTCAATCTAATTTCATTTTAATCAATTTTTGTTTGAATATGAAATAATCATCTATTGTTCTAAATACTCCACTCTACAGAGAAGCCCCAGGCCTCCCGTTTCTGCCGAATCAGCACGGCTGGAACTCCGGTGTGGGACGGAACTGCGGTGTGGGACCCTCCTGTCCTCCTGACGTGTGACGTCAGCTTACGGAACCTGTCTCAGGTAAGTGCATAGCACTTCGGCAGAACGTCTCATAAAATAGAACTTCATTGCACGACAATTGCACATGGTACAATGTATGGCAAACTACATAAAGAGAGTGACAAACTAGAGTTCGGCAATCTCATACCTCCATGACATGTTAGTGCTTTTGTAAATCTTATGCATGGTGATGACCACCTGTAAAATGGCTTACATTTACAATCCTGCTCATTAGCAATTTTTTAAATATAAATTATTCACATTTATTCTGTGAAATGTATCCGCCATATACCGAGAGTTTGATGGCGGTTTTGAAGTTATAAGTAATAGTATCTAATTCTGAAAGATAATGATCTCGTCTGCTTAGCAAGACTTATGAAATCTAAGGAATCATTACTAATGTACTGACACAAAGCTACCAAACAGCGACGGGAGATAGCTCAGACTCTATCTAGTTGCCTCCTGGGAAGGAGACATCCTTCCGCTGAAGGGCTTTGTAAGAGATTTAGATTTTCATGCTCGCAGCTGTTTCTCGCGTTTTGGTGGACGGATAGTTTTGGTGTATGTTTTGCTATTGGGCTATAGATGATGCACGTTCTTTTGTTTTTATCATATATGTGTTTTCGGGCGGGAAAATAGTGCCTTTTGGTGGCCCCAAAACACCCCTTTGAGCGTGAAGATGGTCGCAACCTTTGACCTTTGGTGTGTTTAAAGTATTATCGGTCGGGTTCACTTGTATGACCTTTCGCACAGAGGGGTGTCCGGTCTCGATACATTCTTTGTTTAAAAATATGCACCAAAACGCTGTTTTCCAGGGCTGCGTAGCCAGACACCATCAACTATTCATAACAAACAACATATAAGAATATACAACAAAAAGCCCGGAGGTATAAAATCTCAGATTTTACTTGCTTTGATCTATTGTCTGTGAACACGCACTGCTTTTCCGTTGTCTGCAGACCGCAGTAGCGACCCCTGAAGCAGCCCTAGCGGTGGCCACGGAACTGCAGTTCATCACCTCACAAGTTGACACCCTCTCCTCTGATGACGTCACCATCATCAGCAGGCTGATAGAAAAAATCGTCAACGCAAGCCAAACGGAGCAGGTAATTTTGCATCACATACCCCAGTATTTCTAGCATACTTTACTTGTACTACTAGTGTGTGTCTGAATAATAACTGGCTGTATAGTTCCTTGGTGATATACGAGTACCAATATTTTGTGTAGATGTCGGTGTTACCAGTGTTACAGGGTTTGTTATGAGGGATAATGGTGAGTACGTTATTACTTCCGGGGGAGGAGACATCCTTCCGCGGAAGGGTTTTGTGAGAGGTTTAGATTTTCATGTTCGCAGCTGTTTCCCGCGTTTGGGAGGACGGATTCTTTTGAGACTCGGTATATGTTTTGCTATTGGGCTGCAGATGATGATTGTTTCAAAACCCTAGTGCTGCGGCGCGCAACAATTGTTGTTGTAAACAACATATAAAAATATACAATAAAAAACCCGGAGGTATAAAATCTCAGATTTTACTTGTTCGTAATGAAATTACAGAACATGTGCCAAAATTCAGATCCAAAACCTAACACAACCTGAAACGCTAAATCTAACACATCAACTACACACCGTCAACAACTAACAACATGTAAAAAATACAATAACAACCCGGATTTTCCTTGTTTGAACTTTAGATTGGAGATTCTCTCATGACAACAATAGACAACTTGATGAATGCGGATTCAGAAGTGCTGATGCAAAGTCAACAAGAGAGAGGACCATCTAGGTATATCATTTATTCAAACACTGATAGTAACTTGTTACACATCCTTTTTTTACCAAACGTTGAAATGGTCTAGACTTAGTCCGATTCTGACTTCCTTTAGTACAAGATACCATGTAGGAAACATCTATAAGAGAACTAGCTTTGAGTTTGCCAGCTGAACTCAAATTCGTTCCCCCCCTTTTCAGAGTTGTCCAGGCGTTGGAGACCTTTTCAGATTTGGTGACACTGGTAGGAGAAAAGTACACCTCCGTGCGGCCAGGAGTGGCACTGCAGGCAGTCGACATTAGTTTAGAGGATCTAGACAAAGGCCAAGGTCAGCATCAAGCAAACGTCGTCATTTTGTTTGCTTGTTTATTTATTTGCTGTAAACCATGTAAGGCCACACCGACTTACTTTTATGGATGACATCCGCGCGAGCATTTATTTTCGTCTGTTCTTAAAAAAAGGATCACATCATCCAAGGCTCTGGCCTGGATAGTCCATGGTAGCTTGCTATATAGCGACAGTACGGAGCCGGTGGTAACTCTGGAGGATGGCACCCAGGCTACCAAAGCTCCAGGACGCCACGATCTCAGTACATACGTACAGTGTCAATTCATAAAGCGGCAAAAAAACAGCAGGTGCCGGCTTGTTGTATATGTCGCTATGTTCTGCTGCAGTTCTGCCGCAAATTCACAATGCCAGCTTTGCCTTTGTATTCCTGTGGTTTAGTAGCATTTTTATTTTTGCCGGATTTTTATTTTATTCGCCCGCGTGCACTAGTTTGGGGGTCTTCTGAGGATGTCATCCATAAAGTTAAGTCGGCGTGGCCTTGTGACGTAAAAAACTGTTTTGTAGTTTAAAATATGACCAGTAAAAGCTGTATTATTCTCGATTCCATGATATCTTTTCCGGTCTGTCACCATGCATGTGCAAAACGAGTTTTCCTCCTTCTTTAGGATTTGCCTTTTTCCCGACTGGACATGATTCCGGCAGCCTGACAGAGGGCAGCGTGTCAGGCTTCAGTGTTGACGGTGTGAGAGACCCTCTCCAGACCGCCGACATCTCTCTCACTCTGCCCGCTAACATCTCAAGCATAATGCAGATCAACAGCACGGCAGGTACGACGGCCATTTTGAAATTCGTAAGCTGACACGGTATAATAATGTTTACCTTCCCAAATCCTTTGCTTAAGGGAGGTTGTTGCAAGTTTGTTAATGTGCAGTGGCATAGGCTTTGAGCAAGGACATATCGACATTATTCTGTCCTTGCTTTGAGCTAGTTAAGAACACAGCTTTGCACGATATTTACCCAAAGAACAGAACAGTTAATTTATTCCGTAGATACTTGCCATGAGCAAGCGATACAGATCGAAATTTTATGGAATTTCACACGAGATTGCCTATAGAACTAATGTCTATTGATAAACGTGGGTAGAATCCATCAAATGAAGCACCCATACTGTTTTATTGACTGATTTACCCATAACAACAACAAAAAAATAATGAAACTTGAAGAGGTTCATCAGTCACGTAGAATTATCAGTATATTCCTCATTCGTGTTCTCGCGAGACTAGGTCACTCCGTGGTCAAGATGTACAGTGAACATCAAAATTTGGAGGTACGTGTTTCTACCTTTCAAAAGAGTCACTGATTGAGGAATATACTACTAACTGAAAACCTGAGATGTTAAGGAAAATTGAATGTCTCTCCGCAGATGTCCGACTGAGTTATACCCTGTACAACGACAGCAGTCTGTTCGTCCAGCCTTCCCAGGGTGCTGTGGGAAGTCGAATCATCGGCAGCAGAATCGCGGGCTTGTCGATAAAGAACCTGTCGCAGCCGGTTACCATCTCTGTCAGACCTATAGAGGTATGCCTGCTTTTGTTTGCTCGTGTGGCTCTTGTAACTATTTATAAGTACTGTCACGGTAAGTTGGAGGGACAATGGTGTAACGGTAGACTTACAGAAAGGTTGAATTGGAGTCAAAATGGCATTTCCGTAGGCTGGAAGGACATTGCAGTGAATATGTACAGAATCGATGAGAAGCCCATCGTAATACATTTTATTTCAAACTGTTCATTCCATAACAACGCTCGAAATAAATTGACTATTCAAACTTCAACAATTTATCCCAATTTCTCTAAACTTACAGTCCAAGAAAAAACTTTTCTTCTCTTAACTTTCCAAAACCCACACATTTTGGAAAAGGTGGGACATAACATCTTCCATGGTTTACAGAAGAGAAGTCAAGCCCTTCAGACATAGTTTTAGACATAGTTCTAGTTCTAGACAGCTACCTTCATCATGTAGACTTTAGTTACTTACTTTATACTCTATTTCATTGTTCTTTTATGTTTTGTAATTTGCAATTAGCATTCGGACAAGAATTTGCAATAAACTTTTCAATAATGAATATAACAAGAAATTCCCTCTTAATGCTTGCTGTAAGAGAAGAGAACTTTGCGTATGTTTTAGGACTTCTCTCCTGAAGATCTTGGGAGGTTCCGCTGTGTGTTCTGGGATTTCGAAGCCGAGGCAGGACATGGGGCGTGGTCATCAGATGGATGTGTGAACCAAGGAGAGGAAAATGGCACCTACACGTGTACCTTCAACCACCTCACCAACTTTGCCGTCTTCTTTGTGAGTATAGTAAAGCATTTCCTTTTATTCATTACCTCCGTGTAACGAGGTTTGTAGTCGTTTGTGTCCGTAGTTATTTGAATACAATAGAGTCACAGGAAGTGAGGGGAATGCTGTAACCGCAGACTGACAGGAAAGTCAATTGGAGGTCAAACTCTGAGTAGTAAAACATTTCCTTTTATTCATTACCTCCATGTAACGAGGTTTGTAGTCGTTATGTTTGTTTGTGCCTGTAGTTATTTGAATACAATAGAGTCACAGGAAGTGAGAGGAATGCTGTAACCACAGACTGACAGGAAAGTCAATTGAAGGTCAAAATGGCCTCCCCTAGGCATGCCGGGAGTAAGAGACAATTGCTCTAAACCGGGAATCTTGATTATCAGTAAAACAGCTTAACATTTAGTTCTTCATTTTGCAGGATCTGAAAGGAGGGTTTGGGGCTCACGAAAGACTGCTAGAGATCATCACTACTGTCGGCTGCGTCGTGTCCATTACTGGCCTGGTCCTCACACTACTGTCCTTCATCGTCACCATGTAAGTCACGACTTCTTATTTTATCTAATGAAGAATATTTGTCCCTCTTTCAAAGGTGGTAGCCATTTTCCAGAGGGGGTTAAGGTACCAGTCATATTAAACCACATACTGCAAACACTGTCTGTCCGCTACCGGGGGCTTAGTTATTCTTTGCAAATTCTGACATTGAGATTGGCAGAAACGGTTGAACCAAAATGATAAAAAAAGAAAGTGATCTCGAACCAGTTTAGCTCATTGAAGAGCTAATCTTCCACTGGTCGTGACAGAGAAGACAGACGCTATGTACAGTATTTACAGGTTCATTGTACCGGAGAAATTCCCCTAGCTCTTTTCGACAAGCACAATGAACAGTGGATCACGGCTAACGTCCCGTCCTATATAAGGACTGCGACCCTAAACAGTAGCGTGCATGTCGGGTGAGCGACAACAGCCGGGATTCGAACTCCCAACCTCTTAGTCCAGAGGCAGGATCGCTAACCATTGGACTACGCACGCTACACGATAGACAAGACAAGTGAATTCCAAAAGCTAACCTTTCCCGAAATTTCATGCCATAAAAATCGAAGGCATGACGCTCCATGGAGGAGAGTTGCGTCACAAGCGTCGAGCTCACAACATACGGACGAATCCAAAACAAGGCAAAGGACAGTCAAGAGCCACAAAACAAAGTAAAAACAGCGGTTCGACTTCCCTACACGACAAGGGATATAAGGTTGCTGACTGCTAGGATGTACGGAATAGACAGAGCTGTAGGTTTTAGACATTTGCATGCATTGCCACATATTGGACGTCAGATTACATAGACAAAGGAAAACGTGGTTAGGGAAAATGCGTTCTTTCAAATCTGTACGTTCATAAGAAAATGTCTTTGGTTAACAACAATACTTCTAGGCAGAAATGCATGCAGCTTTTAGAAAAAGCTGAGGGCATGTACATTTTTCAGAAACACTTGTATGTACTAAAATGTACATTGCTATGTTAGCATGAAAGCTCATCTGTGTTGGTACAAATCCTTATGAAATAAAGACTGAACTTTAACTCCCAACACTAGATATAGAATTGGGACTTACCCCAAATTTTCGGTTGACTCCATCAACCTTGTTCACGGAATGGACCCGTCTACTCTTGGAACGTGACGTCAGAGACACGTGACCGCAGTAGCTGGTCATACGTGCCAGATAACTTGTGTCGCCCCCCGTCTCTGAATCGGACTTCTTTGCAAGAGGAGTTAAGGAGGCAGTCTACATAAGATCTCACAGACCTACCCTGAACAGAGACGGGGGGCGACACAAGTTATCTGGCACGTATGACCCGCTACTACGGTCACGTGTCTCTGACGTCACGTTCCAAGAGTAGACGGGTCCATTCCATGAACAAGGTTGATGGAGTCAACCGAAAATTTTGGGTAAGTCCCAATTCTATATCTAGTGTTGGAAGTTAACGTTCAGTCTTGATTTCATAGTACATTGTTATCCTCATGACTACGTGGTGTAAATGTGTTACTTTACGCATTCACGAGTTGGCTGCCTATAGATTAACATGTGGTCTTGAATGTCTGTAAATACAGGAAGTATAATCGCCGGATTGTCGGAGCTCACGCAAAGAACCAGCGCCTCGTTCTCATCAACCTATGCGTGGCCCTGTTGGCAATCATCATCATCTTCCTAGCTGGCATCAAACAGACGACTTCTCCCATTGGCTGCACCATCGTGGCGGCGTTATTACACTACTTCCTATTGGCTGCCCTGATTTGGATGGCGATGGAGGCTGTGAACATCTACCTGGCGGCTGTCATGGTTTTCGATCATTACGTCACCAGGAACTTCATATATAAGGCTGCTGCAGTGGCATGGGGTTTGTTTGTTTGTTTATTATTTGCACAACAGCAATAAGAATTATACATAATAAATTAATAATGAATCAAACAGGTGCAGGAGGAGGTACAAAAGCTTATTTACCTTATGCTAAGCCCTCCTCCTCTATACTAACCAAAAGTAAACATAATTGAATTGAAACAAGGCATATTCATACATAAGGAATTGTAATCAAAATAATTCAAACAAGGGCAAAATGATACAATAACAATAATGAAACAGTAGTATACATAAATTGAAATGAAATGAATTGGGGTGAGCAGAGCAAACCTTAAAAAAGTTTTTTTGTATATCAGTTGTTCATTCATTCATTACGACAATTTATTTCTTACTTATTAGTTTGTGATATTTGGAAAAATTTGACCTTTTCCCCCTCACATTCTGTGACTCTATTGTATTCAAATAACTACAGACAAGCAAAGAAACAATCACAGCTAAGACAAAACCTCCGTACATGGAGGTAACAGTGACGTAATTTGAACTGTTTTCCAGGCTTCCCCCTTCTCATTACCATATGCACCGCGGCTCCGTCAAGTCTCTACGACTATAGGAACGACAAGTAGTAAGTTTTTTTACAGCTGTATTTTAGTGCCTAAGGCCACACCGACTTAATTTTATGGATGACATCCGCGTGCGCATTTATTTTCGTCTGTTCTAAAAAAAAAAAGATCACGTCATCCGAGGCTTTGGCCTGGATAGTCCATGGTAGCCTGCTATATAGCGACAGTACAGAGCCGGTGGTAACTCTGGAGGATGGCACCCAGGCTACCAAAGCTCCACGACTCAAGACCTCAGTACATACGTACAGTGTCGATTCATAAATCCGCAAAAAAACAGCATGTGCCGGCTTGTCGTATATGTCGCTATGTTCTGCTGCAGTTCTGCCGCAAATCCACAATACCAGCTTTGCCTTTGTATTCCTATGGTTTAGTAGCATTTTTATTTTCGGCCGGATTTTTATTTTATTCTAGTTTGGGGGTCTTCAGAGGATGTCATCCATAAAATTAAGTCGGTGTGGCCTAAATCTTATATTATTAATATTCATGTATTTTTGTGGCGATATCACAAGCATCATGGTCTGTTCTTTGTATACAACTGTTGATTTTCACTTGTCACCTTCCTCATCAGAGCAATACTAGTAGGTCTCTGCAGTCCCAAACATGGCTGAACTTGTATTCCTCTAGCCTCTACCAGGTTTCAGAAGCGGCCAAAAGAGTAGAAGATAGAAAAATAGACAGAGGAAATACCAGTGGAGTTATAGAAGTACAGTGCAGTTTGCACCCGTACTCTTTTTTTAAAGCTTCAGTGGACCGATTCCCTTGACGAGCATGTTATCTGTCTTTTTGGCTACTTTCTACTCTTTCTAGCCGCTTGGTAGAGGCTAGTATCCCCCTCAGCACGGTTCAAGACTGGGGAAGATTAAATTGAATGATTTTATACTGCTTTTGAACATAGAAACCATTATTTCGTAGATTTTTACCTCCATGAAACTGGAGGTATTGTTTTTGGAGTGTCTGCCTGTGTGTTTGTGTTTCCGGACAGTTGTGGCATAACTTCAGAACACCTTTATGGATTGTGATGATATTTAGTACGTTGGTAGGTCTTAGGAAGACAAAGGTCAAGGTCAAATATAGGCCCCCTGGTGGATGACCTTGGTACTGCAGCAGAACTTCCGGTTTTTGAATCTTTTGTCCTGAACATGCTATGGTCTTGACTTTTTATATCCCCCCCCCAGCTGTTGGTTGGCACAGGTTCCTCTACAGTACGCGTTCCTGCTCCCAGCCGGCCTCATCCTCACGTTCAACATAGCGGTGTTCTCCATCGTCATGTACAGACTCATCAGCAGGGAGAAAAAACAGAAAAAGTTAACAGGTAATACTAATTTCATTTCATTTTTTCATTTTTATTTATTTATACAGGTTAGCATGTCACCGTAGCCTTCAAAGCTCTCTGTGTCATACATAACATAACATAACATAACATAACATAACATAATAAAAGATAAGTACAATCAAAGGGTAGTTATGATAAAAGAAACGGAACAGCCTAATAAAGTACAGTAAACAAACTAAATAAATATGACAAATGATATAAATGGTAATGGGACTGAATTTGCATATCAATGTTTATAAACAAAGAAGAAAAGCTTGTTGAAGTTTAGATGCTTTAAAAAGGAGTAAAAGTTGAAAAAACCTTAAACACACGTACCTTTGCCTTTGACTTGGCCTGTACATGATACCCTCTGCTTTGCCACGTGACATGAAGGGAATATGATGTCATTAGACAAAGATGTTTATCAATATACTTTTCTTCTAAGATGGATGTATATGAGGGAAATCGTACACTGATATACTCTTTATTATATTCCTTTTATTTTTTCTTATGCTCTTTACTCTTCTCTGTTGTATTGAATTTTCTTCTAAGATATGGATTTATATGAGGGAAATTGTAGACCGATACACTCTTTATTCTATTGCAGGTTGCCTATATATCTCAGCAAATGAAAATCGTTGGTCTGAAATCTATACGATGATAATGCCCTTGGTCAAACCTGTCCCAGTGACAACCTCTAGATAGTTATCAAGGACCACCTGGACCACTGTTTGGTGATCTCTTAGATAATTTTGTCCATTTGAATAGACCAGATTTTCCCAGTCCCCTAAATAATCTGGTTCAACTGTAGTCAATCATGCAATGTAATATTTACTGGTAAACAAAAGACAAACTGTGCTCGTACAGACTATTCAAATCTACTTATAATGAAGAACATTATCTTAAAATCCCTATTGAAACGGAAGTCAAAAAACCACAATCACCAAAGTACGAATCAGCTGTCACAAACTCAGCATCGAAACAGAAAGGCACAACCGCACATCTCTGGAGCAAAGGATTTGCCAATTTTTTTTAGCTCAAACAAAGTAGAAGATGAAGTCCACTTTATCGTTGATTGTAGTTAATATAGTAATGATAGAAATGATCTTTTTTTATATATTACAAGTACGTTTCCATACTTCCAATACTTGTCTAATATTGAAAAATTTATCTTTATATTTGCGCTTTGATCATCCTGTATTAAACAAACCCATTTCAAGTTATACTTTTAACATCACAAAGAAACGAGAAGAAGCCGAACTTCTGTATTAGAGTAGTTTTAGAGCTGTTTGTACTACAAACATGTATATTACCTATTTCATCTGTTTACCTGTACTTGAATGTACAATAAAGGTTATTATTATCATTACTATTTCTGTATGTTTACAGGTGGTCAGAAGAACGAGGCAGACCACCAGTGGGTGACCCGGCAGTTACGGCGAGCCTTCAGCATCATGGTCCTGTTCGGTCTCACCTGGGTCTTCGGCTTCTTCTTCGTCATAGACAACAACACCGCCCGAACTGTCTTCGCCTATCTCTTCTGTATCTGTAACACCCTCCAGGGCCTCTTCATCTTCATCTTCCACTGTGTCATGAGGGAAGACGTGCAGAAGTGGAGAAGGGAGTTCTTTTGTAAGAAGAAGAAGAAGAATCACTATGAAGTCAACAGGAGCACGTTTTCATCGTCTGTTGCGCGAACTCCACAGAGAATAAGCCTCAACGTTGGGGCCTATGTTGTGCCGCCTGCCAGTAAAGCGTAGTTATTGTAGAACGTAGTTACAACTTAGTGTCTTAAACCTCCTTGGCGTTTGTCATGAAATATATCTATTTGCACCAGGACAATGTTTTTTGAACGATTTTATTCTTCAAAGCCCTTAAATCATATACATGAACATACAATGTAACTGAAGATTAGACATAAGTTTGACACAAGTTCAGAAAAATTAGGAATACATCATCTTTCCTTTACATTCTAGCCAGGAAATAAATATTGCGTATTTAGCAACAGTTATAATCATTAATAACAATGTGTGTTTCATTTTTCCAAAAGTTGTCTAATCTACGATACTTGCTAGTGAACATCAAAGCCCTTATATCATATACATATCATACATGAACATACGTACAATGTAACTGAAGATCAAACATAAATTTGACACTAGTTTAGAAAAATTAGGAATACATAGTCGTTCTTTCTATCATCGTCTTTCCATTCTAACCAAGAAATAAATATTGCGTATTTAGCAACAGTTATGAGCACCAGGACAATGTTAGGTAAAGCCACAGTTTAGATGAAATGATGCTGTAGTCCTTTATGTTTATGGTACTAGTTATGATTGACAAAATGAACGTGTCTAGCATGTATACATGTATATGTACAAGTAATTTTGATAGCTGTCACCTCTGCACAAATATGATAGCAATTACTTATATTTTGGCACCCTGCATGTAAGAATCGAAAACTGCCAATCTCTGCAGTTTTGCCAGTTTCTTACACCTTCTTCTGAAACTGGACAATGTAACGAAGTTACCTCCTAAAGGCAAATGTGTCAGTTTCTATAGTAATTTGCTGAAACAAAACAACCTTCGTAATCTCCGAAGTGCTAGTAGAAAAGTGTCCCAAAAATGCTAATTATAACACCACTGACTTGGACACCAGTGATGTTGGATTCTTATACATGCTTGAAGATTACGGATACGGTCTCCATTAAGTAGATGTTAGGGTGAGGTCATGATTCTGCATGTTTTATGAAGTCTTACATGTAATACGCGGAGAAGCTTGGACCTGTTTGAGAAATCGTTCCCTGGTTTTGATTTAACCCTTTTTTAAACATTTTTAAAAATCGGGACGATTTACCCTCATTAGATTCTGTCTGCAATACCGATTCCGGTCGCAGCCTGAGAAGTGGCTATTTGCCAAATTTCCGTCTATTCGGAAATGGTCGCAAATGGTCATTTCCACTTTGTTTTCAATAATGGCAATAATTAAAATCAACGGTGATGACATTCAACATATTTCAGTAATTGGATAATCGGATATAAGGTCGCAAAATGTACGTTTCCTTCGCAGGTTATTAATAGCAGTTGTTGAGTGTATCCTGGAAATTGTCACTTTCTGAAGGACTACCGCATCCAAATTCCATTCCTGTTTTGTAAATAAAGAAGTTATTGAGCTAATGCAACAGCGTCTTTATCCTTTTTGTCCATCAGTATATTCAGTTTTCCCATTGTAAGGTGTGTAGAATACTTCACTGCGTAGTGCAGTATTTAGAATACACTTTTTGATACAGTAATAATTAAGAAATATTTTGGCAGCAAAAGAAAAAAAAACACTTTAAAGCTGTATTTTTGCAGCACTATTTTCTAAGAATTAGAACATAAAAAAATGCAAGAAACACCATGGCGCGTCAGCATATTGGAGACCATATTTCCTACCACAGGTCTTGCCTTTTTCGTAACAGTCCATCTGTTTTGGGGGCCCTGGCGCTGAGGGTAATAAAGGTTCATTAGAATATATCTATCCTTGATGCTGATTGGTTTTCGATATGGTGACATGTTGCGTTTTGCAACGCGCTTGAGCCGCTGACGCTGGTTGGTTCACGGCCAATGACGTGATATTCATCGTTGTTGATTGGTTAAAAACAATGATGGCGTGTATCTGTACGCCCAAATATGGGCAAACAATTTGAAACCGCAAAGTCGGTCTACTTGTCACGAAAACAACTTAAGTTATGAAGGGATTCTCACTAACGGGGATGTCTGAAACAAACATGTTCCTCTGAGAACTTTATTAACAAAGAAAAGTAGCCGATTTATATCATCATGGGGGGGGGGCGAGATATCCTATTTCACACAGCTAAGGCCATGTTGATTTAATTATATATATATGACATCAGCGACCGCATAAATTTTTTGCCGTTTCCAAAAAAAAAGTTTTCCACCATACATACAAAATCGTACAAAAAATGAGCAAATCTATACCATAAGTCGGAAAAAATAATATTGAAAAACGATACCAATATCATAGAAACCCAAGACGAATATGTTAAGAAATCTGTTCAACCTTCATGACACGTACATTTCATTATAAAAGCAACTTTTTTTTTTGCCAAACTTTTTTTTTCGCACGCTCGCAGTTTTGGGGTTCCCAGAGGATGTCATCCATATAATAAAATCAACATGGCCTAATATTATATTATTACGAACAGGATACATTTGTGGCATTTGTTAGAGATGGCTTTCAGCACCAAGGACAGGGATAGCTTCAGTTACAATCTGGCCTTTTTAAGACAAAAATGGATAAAACAGTATGTACAAGTGACTAAACAGGGAGGTTTTTAGCCAACATTTCTGATATTTTACTACGCTCACGAAAGCAAAATCACTGAAAAACGTCACATTTGTACAGAATACAACCCAATACTAGAACCCTCTTTATCATTTGAAATACTAAGTTAAGATGTTTTCAATTACATATCAGAATTTTTTAATTAACTCCAAACATGTGTCATGTGTATTTAGAATACACTTTTTTAAATTTTAATTAAGAAATATTTTGGCAGCAAAAGAAAAAGAAAAAAAACACTTCAAAGCTGTATTTTTGCAACACTATTTTCTAAGAATTTCTAACATAAAAAAAAGCAAGAAATTCAAAGTGATGGACAAAATACCAACGATATCAAGATATCACTGAGTTCAGGATATATCAAATATATGCAAGGTACTTGTGTTATAAAATGGAAGCCAACATATCATGCCAAGTCTTTAGGAAAATTCTAGGGCAGGTCATACTGATTTGATTATGTGGATGACATCCTTTGGGTGCAGCAGTACTGATGAGGTGCAAACAAAAAAATTGGGGAAATAGTTGGTCTTTGATGTTCAGAAGATGGTATAACAAACAAACAAATAAATTCTTTGCAAATAAGGCCACACCAATTTAATTTCTTGGTTAACGGATTTGCCCGCTTCATTTTTTTGTGATTTGCAAATGAAAATTCAGAATCATTACTGCAAAATGCTCATATTTTGACCTGAACAGCTGAAAACAGTCCTTTTCATCCTAGTTGTTACAGTTATTCCATCTTTCAATGCAATGGTATCATTAAAAGTTAAGAATTCATTGTTTAAATTTTAAACCAGCCTGGTGTGTTGACTTCATGGCTCCTATCGTACCATTTTGGGCCATAATAGGATGCCTAGGCCTGTTTTTATTTTCATTTTTTTTTCGCCCTCCCGCTCCATTATTTTTCTAGAAAAACCCGTTAACCAAGAAATTAAACTGGTGTGGCCTAAGTGGTAAATTGAACACTGCTTCCTCTGGCATCATTTTTTCTCCTGTCAAACTTTTTTTTTTGAAACAGAGAAAAATTAATGAGCGTGTGGATGCCATCCATGTTATAATCAAGCCAATAATGTGGCCCTATGTCATATCTGTTGTTTGACAACATATCAACTGTAGCAGGCGAACTTAAAATTCTGCTTTTGCCACCATTAAAAAACTTTGGTCTATGTTATATTACAAAAAACATACCACATCAATATGAATGTAAAAAAACATACCGAGAATTAAAAATTATCTTGAATAAACATATTTGGAATAACATTTTCCACACCAATAGGTAATTAATGTATTTTACAAAATTGCCCAACAAAGGGTCAAAGCAAAACAATACTTCTCTATTTTCAACTGCATTAAAAATGTTGCTAATTGTGACATTTCAGTTTCTGGCCCATTTAATTCTTTGTTGTTTACAACAGTTTTAGGTACATGTTACTGACTGCTGTTAGTATATAGAATTTGATTGTTTATCAAAGCGCATAAATGCAAGCAATGGTTAATTAAGTTATCTATATGCTCAACCAATAAACCAGTATTATTGAATTTCCCATTATAATTGTAAAAAGACTTTGGCACCTGCAGTAACAAAGCTAGCTTTTCTGTGGACACCAAAATTCAACATAAATTTTCCAGTTAAATATTGTTTTTGCTAATACTGCGTATTTTCTCATAAGGCCACAGCAAGTAAATTTTATGGATGACATCCTCCGCAGACTCCAAATCTAATGCGAGCGGGCGGAAAAAAAAGGCGGGTCGAAAAAAACAAGGTTCCTACATTTTAACATTTTCACTCAATCATTGAACAAATGGTTTTGATTCAGTGGGAACATCACATATACACAGCCAGCATCACATATTACTGCATCAAAGTAAGAAACAAAACATTAAATCAGAGCCTTTTCTTGTCTCCTCCCTTCATAGTTATCTGCCTTCCACCTTCCGGCATGGCAACAGACATTTCCGCATGTTGACCACTGTCAGAAGGCAACAAAATTTGTTTTTTTTTCCCAAAATCAGGCGAAAATTAATGCGCGCACTGATGGCATCCATAAAAATTACTTGCTATGGCCTGACTTCATCTGTTCACTGTCCTGATGGTAACTTTGAACTTGTCACCAGTATGTCCATAATAACATAAATGCATTATATGCCGAACACTACCAAAAATCAGAAAGAAAGCACAAAATCTTATCAAAGTTGATGTAACATCAATGTCTTAAAGATACAATATCTTACTATTATTGTAGAAAACCTGCTACAATGTACATAGCCAAAATCTTCAAACAATATAAATCCACTTACTGCATAAAGATAAAAGGAAATGAATATCAATAGATTCATGGTGTAAAATTTGACCGAACACATCAAAATCCACACAATCATAGAATCCAGCATTCCTTTGAATATTATCAATCCAAAATAATCCTTTTTTGCTCTAATAGCATAGAAAAATATAGACTTGTACATCTTATTCATGTTTTTAAAACCTTTACACACAATTTTCGTATAACAGCATACTTTTCAAGTGATAAAAGCTAATGCTTTAAACAAGAGTTGAACAAAAATTATGAAAAAAAAGAATTATGACAAAATTTCTTAGATATATTCTGCTTCCACATTCTGAGTACAAATTGAAACTGCTATGCACAATTAACGCCCTTAAGTTGTTTAATTCAACAACCTAAGACGCTTGGTTGCTTTTGTTAACTTTTAAAAAGGTGTGATGAAAGAAATAAACATAACAAAGCTGTAACCCGTGTCCAGCTAAAGTACATTTGGAAGACTTTTTTTTTCAATGATTGTATAAAGTGTTGAAGTCTACACAATTACTGTTATTCACTTTATGTTCACAGTAGCAAAAGTTGACGGTCTGAGAAAAATGGACATGTTCACGGAACTATATGTTCACAGTGGCGACAGGTGCAGAAAAAAGAAAGTCCGTGGAATTATTTGTTAATAAGTTCACGGTACAGAAGTGACAGTGAAAACAGTGAACATAAAAGTACTGTGAAAACATTAGGAATTACAGTGTACACAAATTACACCATTTTCCCTAGTATTTACAAAGACAGTGACTGAATGTATTAGATTCTTATTGGTCCCCATCCAAGATGGCAATTAAGTCAAGTCTTCCAATATTTGTCAGAAGCTCTCGGAGTTTCTGTTCGTTGCAAGGAACGCTACCTTGTCTGTCCGCCATGCGCTGCCAGTGGTAGATGACAATTTCGGCAGGTTGGAGGTTATGCTGCGAGCTACAGCTGTCAATCACCTGCACATTCTGGGCCGTCAAATCTGTAACAACACACAAGGCACAACACATGTACTTAAATGGTTTTTATTGTCCAAACAGTACCTGTGCAGTCGCAGCCTGTATACATACGGCTGAATTGATGCAGGGTATAACATAATCAATACAAATCACAACAATTACAACAATGAAATAATACACATGATACACATATTTGTTCCACAATTATTTTTTGTGGAACTGTCGCAAGGGTCTGTGCGGCTGCCATTCGACGCCACAAGGTGACCTCAATACGACTTTCCCCAACTGAAGTTAGGTACCCATTCACACCTGGGTTGAGTGAGGAAAGTCGTGTTAAGTGCCTTTCCCAAGGGCACAACGTCGGGGCGCATGTTCAGACATGTACCGGGTGCGACTCGGAATCGAACCCGGGTCTCCCGGTTCATAGTCAATTGCTCTATCCACTACACCACCCGACGCCACATGCCATACTTAAGTCCAATATCATGTGTTGGAAATTACCATTTAAACTGCCTCATAATGACTTTTTCCACAACAGGTGAACTTTCAAGACAAAATTACGTTTGTCCTTGTTATCTTATTTTAACATTGTATATATATCTTAAGTCCAAAAGTGCGAAGAAAAGAAATAAAGGCCAAACTACTTTTATGCCAAAAAACAGTTACTCAAGCAACTGGATATGATTTTGAAAACGTCAGACGTTTCAGCTAGTATCCACTAGCTTTCGTCAGTGACTGAGAGACCAGAGGGGAAAGCAGGTTTATATACACAACCTGTTGATTGATATGCAAATAAAGTGAAGACAAATTTTTGGAAGTCGAAAAAGGAACAAAAGTCAGACAAGTCAAGACAAGATGATGCAAATTAGTCTGAAAGCTCC